AAAAAAAAAAAAAAAAAAAAAAAAAAAAGCAGCTTCTATCCCACTGCCCTCTGCTGACTCTCTTTCCAGACTCAACCTGCTCACATCAGATGAATAAACAGCCTTGTCGCTTACACAAAGCCTGTTTAGGTGATCTTTTCATTCAGAGCACACTTAACAAAAATACAGAAGTTAGCTGGGCATGGTGGGGCAGGCCTGGAATCCCAAGTTGGGAGGCTGAGGGACAATAATCAGTTTAACCCAGCAGGCAGATGAGCTGTGATCATACAACTGCACTCCAGTTTGGACAACAGAGAGAGACTCTGTCTCAAAAATTAGAATAATGGTAGTAACAGTAATAATACAGACTTAATTTGGGGCAAATCATTTAACACTAGATTTAATTTAATTATCTATAATATGAGAGGTATAATCTCATGTTTTGGAAGTTCTCATGTCAGTTAAAAGTTTGATCTTGTTTCATAAATTAATTATAGTCACAACTACAAATTACCTTCTATAAATACCTATTTTATGTCAAGTAATAAACATTTTTGCTCAATAAATATTATTGCTGTTTGTATGCAATACCTTAACATGCACAGCATAAATAAGTGCATTTCAGAGATTTGGAAGCAAAGGTTCATGGAGAGGAAGTTGCCCAATGTCACACAACAAAGTAATGCAGTGCTGGAATTCCAGCTGAGCTCTGTCTGTTTTCCTAATCTCACGCCAACTCAGTCATACATTCTGATTTTTAGCCAACAGATGACAGATATTCAGTCATTCAAGCCACATGGTAAAGCTTAAAATCATTGTTCAACTTTCACATAATGGCATTTAAAAAGCTATTTGAACCATCACCATGAGTGGTATAATTTTAAAAGTTTCTATTACTTACAGATGTTCCAAAGATATGAGTCCGTTAAATGTTTGCTTATCTAATGCATGGATTTCATTCTTGTACAGGTACCTGGAAAATACATAGAATCTCATTAAATTATAAAGTAGCAGAGATACCACATGTCTTAGATGCAAGCTTTTTAAACCATAAGCTGTGAACCTTAGGAGCTTTATGGGATGTCCATAGGTTCCTAACCATATATGGAAACTGTTATTTCATTTAAACGTGTTCAACTGGTAAGAGTTCTAAGCCTCTCATCAAATTCTCAAATGGATCCTTGGTTCAAAATATTAAGAAACATGGAGCATTTGTGGAGAAATTCTGACTAATGGAGTCATATATACTGAGTAACAACTTCTCTAAGAAAAATAAAAGTTTGACTATAAACAATTTTAAAAATTTATTTTATGACACTGAATATATTCCACTGGTAGTTACAAAGCTGGCAAATACCACCATGGGATTCATCTTAAGGGAATAAAAGCATCTTAGAGATGCATAAGATGAATTTTGATCCTCCTGTGGCTGCTGTCGAAAATCTCCAGGAAATAGTACTATAAATGGATTTATAAATATGATGACACAACTAATCTTACCAAAGGGTTTGAAGAAAACAATTTATGTGACATATGAGCACTTTCTCCACAGTTTGTCTTCAACCAGAGGTTGTTAAGGTGATTTCTTCTCTATGCTCTTTGTTAATGTCATGAATATGAAGCCCTGGATCTTTTCTACTTGTGCCTCTGAGGGTTTGAGACAATCAGAATTCCTGAAGCCTTCTATCAAGTGTCTTTGGAATGTGCTCTTGCATATTGTCAGGGCATCAGAATCACCTGGTGGTGTTAATGCCAGTTCCAAAATTCACCCACAAACCTACTCAATCGGACTGTCTCAGGATATTTTCTAGATTATTCAATTGCAGCTAATCTACAGTCCTGCCTTAAGGCCATCAAAATCACAATTCTGGCTAAAAATGAAGCAGGGACTGATTTTCTATAATTTGCTTAGTGAAGCTTTGTGAAGTTCCAAACCACTTTCTTTTCCCCCAGTGTAGGACTTCAGTAAGCTTCTGAGAGTAGCAGGGACTCTTGTGGATTTAAATGTAACTAGATACTTTTCTCCTCAACATTAATTGATACTAGAGAAGATTTTGCTTTTACTCCAAAGCTCAAAAATATAGCTACATGGTGAAATTTAAGAAATATGATATTCTAGAACCATGCTTTTTCAAATTGATTATAAGAAGCATTGAGAAGTGGTCTCAAAACCCACTAGTGGTTCTCAAGGGTGGGCGTATGCAAATCAAAGTATAGGTACATGAGTCAGTAGTATTTGTAAGGCCTCATTTTGAGTTCTACCCAGACCTCATAGTGACGTCTGGGTCCCTGCCTCCACAAATTCTGATTTAATGATGGGCCCAGGTGACAGACTAGACATTGAGATTCTTCTTAACTCCACAGGGGATAATAATATGCAGCAAGATTGAAAGCTGCTGTTACTAGGTACAGAACAGGTGGAAGTATTTTGTAAATGTACCCCACTGGATTCAGAAATACCTCCCGGTAAAGGCCCTTAGACTATTAGAATGTTGAGAGCCACATGACTTCAAGGGTCATGTCTTGAGGTATAAAGTTGGCTTCTAGTGAGAGGCATATAAACACTATACTGGGTTTTGATTATTATCATCAATTTTAAATAATGATGGATTGTTTCATGAAGATAAAATGAAATCATAAAATATTCATGGAGGTGTTTCAAAACTTAAAATTTCCCATAATATTTTATCTCAGATATACAGATTCACTTTAGACAGTTATATCGTAGAAAATGTTTCAGGAATCGCCACACTGTCTCCCACAATGGTTGAACTAATTTACACTACCACCAACAGTGTAATTGCTTCAGGATCTAAAACCAGAAATACCATTTGGCGCAGCAATCCCATTACTGGGTACATACCCAAAGGATTATAAATCATTCTATTATAAAGATACATTCACAAGTATATTTATTGCAGCACTATTCACAATAACAAAACTTGGAACCAACCCAAATGCCCATCAATGACAGACTGGTTAAAGAAAATGTGGCACATATATGCCATGGAATACTATGCAGCCATAAAAAAGGATGAGTTCACGTTCTTTGCAGGGACATGGATGAAGCTGGAAACCATCATTCTCAGCAGACTAACACAGGAACAGAAAGCCAAACACCACATGTTCTCACTCATAAGTGGGAGTTGAACAATGAGAACACACGGACACAGGGAGGGAAAATCACACACTGGGGCCTGTTGGGGATGTGGGGACTAGGGGAGGGATAGCATTAGGAGAAATAGCTAATGTAGATGACGGGTTGAAGGATGCAGCAAACCACCATGGCACATGTATACCTATGTAACAAACCTGCATGTTCTGCACATGTGTCCCAGAACTTACAGTTTAATTGAAAGAAAGAGAGAGAGAGAGAAAGAAAGAAAGAAAGAGATAAAAGAAAATGGTGCAGGAAAAATAACCACAAAATAGCGGGAAAATAAGAGCATAGAGCTTCTACAGTCAGATCTGTACAGACTGATTAAATCAGTAATGTATGAATTCCAGGCATTTTACTACCTATATTAATGTTATAGGACCAAGAGGGTTGTACACTTGCTAAAAAAAAAAAAAAGAAAGAAAGACCAATATACTGAGATAGCAGTTTTCAGCAAATAAAAGAGTTTAATTATCAAAGGACAGCCAAATAAAGGGACAGAAAGGACCCTCAAATTCTTCTCCTCAATGAGTTCTGGGCTGGGGTTTTTAATACAATAGGGGAGGGAAAGAGGTTGGAAAATTGGGGTTGTTGACTTGCTGGAGTAAGAAGGATATCATGTAAATATGGAAACCACATTCTTTGGTGAGTCAGCTCCTTATCAGGTCCTTCAGAACTTATTGGTATGCAGGACCTAAAGGATATTTCAAATGGAAAACTTAACATTTCATAATTCTCAAGTTGTTATCTACAGAGCAGCTAAGGAGAACTATAATCTTGTGGGTCTACATGATTCTAAGACAATATGCACCAAACAGCTGTTAGGATGGGGTCAAAGAACAGATGATTTCATGATGAGTGCTAATGTCCTGCAAGTTTGGCTTATTTTTGTTTCTTTCCCCTGCCCCCTTCTTTCCTGATTAATTTTATAAAGTTTATAGGGACACTTTCATTAACACCAGTCACAGCTTCCAATTTCCTATAGGATAATGGTACCCAGCTAAATTCACACATCCCTGAAAGAAGCTCAACAAAGAAGAAAAGCACATCATCCAGAACACAAGCTATGACAAAACCAGAGAAAGAGAATGTTAGCAACCTCGGTTTACTTTTGAATGGAAAAAAATATTAAACACATCTCTAGAGTCCACTCTGCAGCAGAGTCAAGTGGGGGTTTCACAGATGAAGGAGCTGTGGCAGAAGGGGTGGAACAGCAAATGATGAGAGTACCACCCTGATGAGAACCTAAGATTGAGGAGATTATTACCCAATTCCATTAGGAATTGAAAGAAGGGGCTTGGAAAATGTATAGGAGAAGGCTCCTTGCTAGCATGGGGTCAGTTGTGGAGGATTGGTATTAACAGGAAAGAAGAAAGCAAGAAGCCAAAATAAAATAAATTAGTACCAAGATTTTAAAAATCAGGATTATTGTGTACCAAGATATTTGCTGTAAGGAAAATTACCTATAAATACTAAAGAGAAATTAAAAAAAAACAATCTGATACTAAATTGGATAGAAATAGAAAACCTAGAAATAGAAATTTTGATCAAAATCAAAATCAAAAATCAAAAAGACATTTCTCAACTATTTCAGTTAACATATATGATAAGCTACCTAGGAATAAACTTAACCAAGGAAGTTAGAGACTTCTACAGTGAAAGATACAAAAAATTACTGTAAGCAATTAAAGAGAAGGCAAATGAATGAAAAGATTTTCCATGCTCATGGACTTAACGATTTAATATTGTTAAAATGTCAATATTTCTCAAAGTGATCTAAAAATTTAATACAATCCCTATCAGATTTATAATGGCATTTTTTTTGTAGAAATAGGGAATTCCATCCTAAATTCGATGTGACATTTCAAGAGGCCCTGAACAGTTAAAGCAATCTTGAGAAAGAATAACATAATTGAAGATTTTACACTTTCTGATTTCAAAACTTATAACAAATGTATAGTAATCAAAACAACATGGCACTGGCATAGAAACGGATCTACAGACCAATGTAAAGTCCAGAAATAAGCCCTCACATACATGGTCAAATGATTACTTACAAGAGTACCGAGAATACACAATGGGGAAAGGAAAATCTCTTGAAGAAATAGTGTTGGGAAAACAGGCTATCCACATGGAAAAGAATAAAACTGGAACCTTATCTTTTTTTTTTTTTTTTTTTTTTTTTTGAGACAGAGTTTT